ATTCTATGAGGAAGTTCATGATCTTGAAAGAAAGTATGCTGTTCTCTATCAGCCTCTATTTGATAAGCAATTTGAGGTCATTAATGCAATTTATGAACCTATGGAAGAAGAATGTGAATGGAAACCAGATGAGGAGGATGAAATTTCGGAGGAGCTGAAAGAAAAAGCCAAGATTGAAGATGAGAAAAAGGATGAAGAAAAAGAAGACCCCAAGGGAATTCCTGAATTCTGGTTGACTGTTTTTAAGAACGTTGACTTGCTCAGTTATATGGTTCAGGAACATGATGAACATATTTTGAAGCACTTAAAGATATTAAAGTGAAGTTCTCAGATGCTGGCCAGCCCATGAGTTTTGTCTTAGAATTTCACTTTGAACCCAATGAATATTTCACAAATGAAGTGTTGACAAAGACATATAGGATGAGGTCAGAACCGGATGATTCTGATCCCTTTTCTTTCAGTGGACCAGAAATTATGGGTTGTACAGGGTGCCAGATAGATTGGAAAAAAGGAAAGAAGGTCACTTTGAAAACCATTAAGAAGAAACAGAAACACAAGGGATGTGGGACAGTTCGTACTGTGACCAAAACAGTTTCCAATGACTCTTTCTTTAATTTTTTTGCCCCTCCTGAAGTTCCTGAAAGTGGAGATCTGGATGATGATGCTGAAGCTATCCTTGCTGCAGACTTTGAAATTGGTCACTTTCTACGTGAGTGTATAATCCCAAGATCAGTGTTATACTTTACTGGAGAAGCTATCGCAGAAGATGATGATGATTATGATGAAGAAGGTGAAGAAGCAGATGAGAGTTATCAGCTCTTTGAAGAAGTCAAAAACTGCAGTAAACTTTTTCAATGCTGGCTGCAGTAAATCTTTTCAATAAAAGCTCTCTGGATGTCTCAAGTTGAAAAAAAATTGTAAGATATACTTAACATAACATAAAGTTCACCGTTTTTGCCCATTTTTAAGGATACTGTTTCAGGGCATTAAGCACATTCACATTGTTGTGCAACCATCGCCACCATCCATCTCTGGAACATTTTTCATCCTGCAAAATGGAAACTCTGTACCCATTAAACACTAACTCCCCATTTTCCCCTCCCCTCTGCCTTTGGCAACCACTATTCTATCTTGTATATCTATGAATGTGACTATTTTAGGTAACTTAGATAGTGGAATCATACAGTATTTGTCTTTTTACTCAGCATGACGTCTTCAGGATTCATCCATGATGTACTATGTGTCAGAATTTCCTTCCTTTTTAAGGCTGAATAATATTTCATTATATGTTTGTTGTTTTTTTAGTTTTTAATTAAAAAAATTTTAAATTAAATTTTTTTTGGTAATCTCTACGTTGGGCTCAAACTCACAACCCTGAGATTAAGAGCTGCATGTTCTTCTGACTGAACCAACCCGGCACTCAATTTCATTGTATGTTTACATGACATTTTGTTTATCAGTCCATCTGCTGATGCACATTTCGGTTGCTTCCACTTTTTGGCTATTGTAAATAATGTTGATGTGGACATAGTTGTACAAATATCTGTTTGACTCCTTGCTTTCAATTCTTTTGAGTGTATACCTAGAGGTGGAATTGCTGATCATATGGTAATTCTATTTTTAATTTTGTGAGGGACTGACATACTGTTTTCCATAACAGCTGTACCATTTTACACTCCTACTGGCAGTGCACAGGGGTTACAATTTCTCACCATTCTTTGTTTGTTTTTTGTTTTAAAGCTCTTTAAGTTTGTTTTTAAAAAATTTTTTAAATTAACATATAATGTATTATTTGTTTCAGGGGTACAGGTCTGTGATTCATCAGTCTTACACAATTCACAGTGCTCACCACAACACATACCCTCCCCAATGTCCATCACCCAGCCACCCCACCCCCCCAATTTCTTACCATTCTTGCCAACACTTGTTATTTTGTTTTTGTTTTCTTTTGTTTTATAACAGCCATTCTAGTGGGTGTGAAATAGTATCTCATTGTGGTTTTGATTTGCATTTTACTAATGATGAGTGATATTGAGCCTCTTTTCATGTACTTATTAGCCATTTGTACATCTTCTTTGGAGAAATGTCTATTTAAGTCCTTTGCCCATTTCTTAATCCTTTTCCTTTTCTTTTAAAGGGGGGGTGTTTCCTTTTCTTTTAAAGGGGGTGAGTACATTACTCAAGTTTAAGAAACTACCAACCAAATCCTGGAGATAAATCCATTGTCTACTTGACATTAAATTTCTTGTGAATAATCACTATGTTTACATTTACAAAACTATGTTGCAATTATATGGTAAAACAAATTTAAATTTTAAATATTTTATTTATTTTTAAAAAAATTTTTTATTTATCTGGGAGAGAACATAGCATGAGAGAACACGAGTGAGGGGGCAGAGGGAGAGGGAGAAGCAGACTCCCCGCTGAGTAGGGAGCCCAATGTGGGGCTCGATCCCAAGACCCTGGGAGCATGACCTGAGCCGAAGGCAGGAGCTCAATCAACTGAGCCACCCAGGAGCCCCTAAAATTTAAAAATTTTAATTCCAAGAACTACTGCACGTGAAATAAAATTCACCCACAGAGAAATGTACATAAGAGTACAGTTTGGTGAATTTTCACAAATGAACACGCATGTTTAACTAAGGCCAAGATCAACAGAGAGAGCCTTACTAACACCTTGGAAATCCCTCACCCAGTCACTATCCCTTTCCTGCCAAGGTAACCATTATCCCAAATTTTAGCAGATAACTTTTCCTGTTTTTATGTTGAAATGGGCTTACTCAGGATGTACTTTTTGCACCTTTTCTTTTCTTCTTTTTAAATTTATTTTGGAGAGTGCAGGCACGCACACTGTCTGCAGGGGAGAGGGACAGAGGGAGAGAGAGAGAGAGAGAGAGAGAGTCCTCAAGCAGACTCCCGGCTGAGTTCAGAGCCTGATCCCAGGACACTGAGATCAGTACCTAAGCCAAAATCATGAATCAGCTGCTCAACCAACTGAGCCACCCAGGTGCCTTGCACCTTACTTTCTATGCTCAAATTTACATTTCTGCAGGTAAGCCATTTCATGTTGGTCCTTTCGGGCCAGTCTTCTCTTCGTTGCATATTGCATAGCATTCCATTATATGAACACTGTGTGGATTTATTAATTTATTCTGTTGTTTTTGGTCTTTTGGGTTATTTCCATTTGGGGGCCGTTAAAACAAATGCAGCTGTGAACATTCTTGCACCTCTTTGTTGGTGCACCATTAATCCTTGCTGGATTTGTAGAAGTGGACCCTGTTTGCTGGGTCAGAGGGTAGGCTTCTTTGGTAGATAGGGCCAAATTGTTTTTTATTTTATTTTTAAAGATTTTATTTATTTAACAGAGAGAGACAGTGAGAGAGGAAACTCAAGCAGGCGGAATGAGAGAGGGAGAAGCAGACTTCCAACCGAGCAGGGAGCCTGATGCTGGGCTCGATCCCAGAAATCTGGGATCATGACCTGAGCTGAAAGCAGACGCTTAACCGTCTGAGTCACCCAGGTGCCCCCAAATTGTTTTTTAAAGGAGTTGTTCTAGTTTACATTTCAGAAGCACGGTAGATGAATTCAGTTACTCCACATCCTTGTGGTGTGGGAAACAAAGGCAAATGAAAAAACTAGATTTCCTTACTACTTACAGCCCACTGATGGGTCCTTGAAACAGGCAGAGTGCCCTTCCTTTAGGAACTCAGCTGCCTCAATGTTAATGCTTTGCTAAGGGGAAAGGGCCATCTTAGTTTAACATTATCCCGCTCCCCCCACCCTCCCAGGATCCTGTAAGTCTACTTTAACATATAAAAATTCCTAAAAAAAAAAAAAAAGAAGCAGGAGGGGAAGAATGAAGGGGGGAAATCGGAGGGGGAGACGAACCATGAGAGATGAGGGACTCTGAGAAACAAACTGAGGGTTCTAGAGGGGAGGGGGCTGGGGGGATGGGTTAGCCTGGTGATGGGTATTAAAGAGGGCACGTTCTGCGTGGAGCACTGGGTGTTATGCACAAACAATGAATCATGGAACACTACATCAAAAACTAATGATGTAATGTATGGTGATTAACATAACAATAAAAAATTAAAAAAACATATAAAAATTCCTTTGGAAACTTCCTTTATCTCTAACCCCCATGATACCTGTTAGCAATCATCCCCCAAGCATATGGCTCACTGATATACAACTGAAGGGTCTCACGACTGAGGTTTTATTAGATGATAATGACATTTTCCTAACAATAGCCAGCCCCCTCCAGGTCCAAGAAACCTTGCTTCCAAAATTCCTCAGAGACTTACTATCCCTCACCCCTTCTCAACTTGAAAGTATATAATGGGCCACTCCTCATGACCCCAGTGTAGCTCTTTCTGCGCACTCCTGTGCCTGAGCACGGAAGACCTCTCAAGAATTCTTTCTTAGTCATGAGCTCCAAACCCCAACATTTCCGACATCACTTGGAGTATTTTGCCAACACCTGGTATCTTCCTTTATTCCCTTTTCTATTTTATTTTGAAATATAAAAACAACTCAAGCAAAGTTTAGATTGCTTTTGGGGGGAACTTTTAGTTGTTGGCTTGGTTCTCTCAATTGTTAACCATCTCAGACATCTACTTTGTCCAGCCGCCAGGTGTGGGCTGTGAGTGCGTTTTCGGTTTTGCTCAACATTTTTGCTCACTCTACCCCTTGGATGTCATCGGGTGAAGAAAATAAGGTATGTGTCCAAGGCGGGGCAAGTCCTCTGGAAGCCTGGTCACTTAGTAGGCGAAACTTAGGCGCACCTTCCCGTCAGTTCTTTACTAGGGTCCACGATCTAGGCGTTCCTGCCCGCCTGTCGTCTCCCCACTGCTACCGGGTCCCCGGAGGCACCGGGAACGCAAAGGAGCCGCCCTCCCCGGCACCAGGAACTGGGGTGGAGCGGGGCGGGGGACCCGGGCCTCGCGGAGCATGCGCAGACCAAGCCCAGCGCATGCTCCGCAGAGCGGCGGGTCCACAGATGAGGGTAGCCGAGTCTCCCGCGCCCTACCACGCTTGCTGGAGTTGCTGCTAAGACGCTTGTTCCGAGCCCTGGCTGCCAATAAAGTTCGTTAAAAAAATCATAGTCATTCTTAAAAGAGCGAAGGAGGGCGCGAGCCAGCCGGGCGGCCCCGCCGGGGGAGCTGGCGCCCTGGGAGGAGGAGGAGGAGGAGGTGGTTTTGGCGGTGGCGGCGGCGGTGGCAGCGGTTGCGCCGCGACCAGGAGGAGCCGGTCGTGCCGGGCGGCGAGTCCGCGGCGGGCGGGGGACGGTGAGTAGCAGCTTGCACTCCGGGCAGTGGCGCGGCTCTGACTCGCCCTCTCCAGCGGCTGAGGGTTCCCCCGGCTCCGCTGGGGAAGGACCCGCTTCTTCCCGGGGTCCCGGGATATGCCGTACTCCGGGGACTCTATGTAGAGGGGTGTGGGGGCAGGGGCCTCCAGGCCCGGGCTCCCATCCCCCGGCCGCTGAGCGCGGTGCCCAAGTATCCCCTGGAGAAGGTGGGCGGCACTACATGCCCGGCACCCTCTCTCAGCGCCCAGCGGCCCGGGCTCCCAGGGTGTGGGTCCCTGGAATTGCCCCTTGGGCGGGAAGGAGCGAGACGGAGCGGGGGCAAGGCGCTGGCCTCCAGCCTGGCTGAGCACCCAGCTTCTCGCCTTCTCCCAGCGCCCACATGGGGAAGGGGCGACCCAGGCCGGGCGAGACACCAACAAGGGGCGTCAAGTGCCGGGTGCGGTTTGATCGGGAGGGGGGGTCCCAAGCTCTGCCTTGGTTTTTAGAACCCCCTCCTCCCTGCGGCGGGGCCCCCTCCTTACCCGCGGCCCCACCCTTCCCTAGTTTCTTGCTCAGAGACTGCTAGAATATGAATGAGCCAGACTGCACTATTTCATTGACACTGGCTGCCACAGAATTACTTAACTCGGAGAACCGAGGAGTCTTCGGCAGCTCCCAGACGTGAGAACCTGAGGGTGTGTGAGAGACCATTAACTTCACTCTATGAGGAGTGCCGGGAGAGTCTGAAAGGGTCGTTTCTCTAGGTTTTATATAACTCCTAACGTGTTCTAGGTAATTTCATTGGACCTAACCAAGTTTTTCAGTGTTATAAACACAATCGTCCCTGTACTTAAGTACCTTTTCTAATTTATTAGACTGCATTGGTTGGAAAAGTTTTTTAAAATTAAATTTGGGGAAAGCGTATTTAGAAAAGAGTATTTATGCAAAGCATTGCTGTAAGCCTTTTAATTATTATACTCAGAATTATCTTATTTTCTAAGAACTTAACTGTTTTGATAGAGTGCATTAAGTCTACAGAGCAGTAGTAGCTGATAATCACCAGACTGGCTGTGTTAAAATCTGATTAGGCTTTTCTTCCTTAAATTTTATTTTTAAAATTATACGGTAAAATGGACTTTTTTAAAGATTTATTTATTTATTTATTTATTTAAAAGATTTTATTTATTTATTTGACAAAGAGAGACAGTGAGAGCAGGAACACAAGTAGGGGGAGTGGGAGAGGGAGAAGCAGGCTTCCCGCTGAGCAGGGAGCCCAATGTGGGACTCGATCCCAGGACCCTGGGATCATGACCTGAGCCGAAGGCAGACGCTTAACGACTGAGCCACCCAGGTGCCCTAAGATTTTATTTATTTGACAGAGAGAGACACAGCGAGAGAGGGAACACAAGCAGGGGGAGTGGGAGAGGGAGGAGCGGGGAGCCGGATGCGGGGCTCGATCCCAGGACCCTGGGACCATGAGCTGAGCGGCTGAGCCACCCAGGTGCCCCTAAAATTGACTTTTTAAGGGGTGTGCCATTCTGTGAATTTTAGATTAATGCAATCACCACATAGAACAGTGCTTATCACCCCCCACCCCAAATTCATGCTACCCTTTTATATCCTTCCCCTTACCCCAACCCCTGGCAATTACTAAACTTTTCTAGATGTCATATTAAGTGGAATCATACACTATGTAACCTTTTGATGCTGACTTCTTTCACTCAGCATAATGCCTTTGAGATTCCTCAAAGTTGAATATATCAACAATGTCTTCTTTTTTTATTGCTAAGTAATGTTCCATTAGATGGATGTGCCAATTTGTTTATACATCCATCCACTGAAGGACATTTGGAGTGTTTCCAGTTCTTGGTGATTATGAATAGAGCTGCTATAAACATTCGTGTACAGGTGTTTGTGTGAACATAAGTTCTCATTTCTGTAGGGTATTGCTAGGAGTGACTGCAGGGTCATATAAAGGATGTTTAACTTTGTAAGGAACTGTCATGCTGGTTTCCAGAGTGGCTATTATCATTTTGCATTCTTACCAGCACCGTGTGGGACTACCAATTGTTCCACATCCTTGTAAGCACTGTGTATTGTCAGTAATTTTAAATTTAGCCATCTCATAGGCGTGTAGTGATATCCCATGGTTTTAGTGTGTCTTTAACTAATGACTGATGATTTTGAATATCTTTTCATGTGCTTATTTGGCATATATAATCTTTGATGAGCATTTGGACGAGAGTATTGCCCATTTTTCAAATGGGTTGTTTGCTTTCTTATTATTTTTTTTCCTTATGTTGAGGTTTGAGGGTTCTTCATATGTTCTAGATAGAAGTTATTTGGTAGGTATGTGCTTTGCAAATATTTTCTCGCAGTCTGTAGCTTGTCTTTTCATTCTTTTAACAGTATCATTCACAGAGCAAATGTTTTTAATTTTTGTGAAGTCTAATTTATCAATTTTTCCTTTTGTGGAAATTTTTTTGGTATGATGTCTAAGAACTCTGCCTAACCCCAGGTCAACATTTTCACCTTGTAAGAGATTTCTTCTAAAAATTATTCTTTTACTTTTATTTATTTTATTTTTTAAAGATTTTATTTATTTATTTGAGAGAGAGAGTATCTGAGCACAAGCAGGGGGCAGTTGGGGGAGCAGAAGGAGAGGGAGAAGCAGACTCCCAGCTGAGCAGGGAGCCCCACCCCGGGCTGGATCCCAGGACCCTGAGATCATGACCTGAGCCAAAAGCAGACACTTAACCGACTGAACCACCCAGGCACCCCCAGTATCACACTTTGTTAATTAGTATAGCTTTATGGTGTCTTAAAATTGGCTACTATGATTTCCTTCTTTTTAAAAATTGTGTTAGCTATTCTAGTTTATTTGCCTTTCCATATAACATTTAGAATCAGCTTGTCTCAACTGCAGAAAATCCTGCTGGTGCTTTGGAATTGGATTAAACCATGGATCGATTTGGGGAGAAGTGCTGTTTTTACTTTTTTGAGTCTTCCAATCTGTGAACATGGCACATCTTTTTATTTATTTAGGTCTTTGTTTCATTAGTGATTTATAATTTTCAGCATATAGGTCCTGTACATGTTTTGTTAAATTTTTACCAAAGTAGTTAATTTTGGGGGAACTTTTATAAATGTCACTTAAAAATTTTGTTTTCAGGAGTGGTTGGCTGGCTCAGTTGGAACAGCATGCTACTCTTGATCTTGGGGTTGTGAGTTCCAGCCCTATGTTGGGTGTAGAGATTACTTAAATAAATAAAATAAATTAAAAAAATAAAAATGTACAATTTTTCAAATTGTATGTTGTTAGGCTATAGAAATACAATTCAGTGTTGTGTGTTGCCCTTGTATCCCGTGTCCTTGCTAAACTCATTTATTAGTTCTAGGATTTTTTTTTTAATTCCTTGGAGTTTTCTGTAAAGACACTCATGTAATTTGTGAATAAGGACAGTTTAATTTTTCTCTAACTTGTAAGAGTTTTATTTATTTTTTGTCACCTCATTTCTAGCTAAGACTTTGTGTATGATGAATAGGAGTAGTGAGAGTGAAAATACTTATCTTGTTCTCAGTCTAAGGGTTAAAGCAGTCAGGCTTTCAGGGGCACCCGGCTGGCTCAGTCAGTAGAGCATGCGACTCTTGATCTCTGGGTCATGAGTTTGAGCCCCATGTTGTGCATAGAGTTTACTTGAAAAAAAAAGGGCAAGCTTTCAGAGTTAAGTATAATGTTAGCTGTGGAGTTTTTTATTATTTATTTATTTATTTATTTATTTATTTAAAAGATTTTATTTATTTGACAGAGAGAGACACAGCGAGAGAGGGAACACAAGCAGGGGGAGAGGGAGAGGGAGAAGCAGGCTCCCCGCCGAGCAGGGAACCTGATGCAGGGCTTGATCCCAGGACCCTGGGATCATAACCTGAGCCGAAGGCAGACGCCCAACCACTGAGCCACCCAGGTGCCCCATCTGTGGAGTTTTTTAATAGATGACATTTATGAGGCTGAAGAAGTCTGTTTCTAGTTTGCGGACTATTTTTCTGAAAAACGGATGTTGAATTTTGTTATATATTTCTTCTGTTTCAGTTGATATGGTGATGAGGTTTTTCTTTTTTACTTTGTTAATTTGGTAGATTACACTGATTGAGTTTTGAGTATTGAACCAGCCTTGCATTCCCAGAATAAAGCCCACTTGCTCCTAGTTATTCTTTTTGTATATTCCTAGATTTGATTTACTAATATTTTGTTGAGGACTTTTGTGTGTCTTTGTCCAGTTGTTTTTGTTTTGTTTTTTGGTACTGTTTTTATGTTGGTATCAAAATAATACTGGTTTTATAAAATAAGTTGGGAAGTATTCCCTTCTCTTCTGTATTCTGGAAGAGTGTATATCATTGGTGTCAGTTCTTGCAAGGTTTGGTAAAATTCTCCAGTGAAATTACCCGAGCCTGGAGATTTGTCTTTGAGTTTCTAAGTTACAAGTTCACCAATTTCCTTTATAGTTACAGGGCTATTCAGATTATCTCTTTCATTTTCAGTGAGTTGTGGTACTTTACGCTTTTTAAGGAATTGGTCCATTTCATCTAAGTTGTCGATTTTTTTAAGGGGGGGAGGGGCAGAGGGAGAGAGTGTGCAGGGCTCCATCTCACGATCCTGAGATCATGACCTGAGCCAAAATCAAGAGTCAGATGCTTAACGGACTAAGCTACCCAGGCCTCCCTAAGTTGTCAAATTGATGTGTGTAGAATTGTTATATTATCCTTTTGAGTCTGCAAAGTCCACAGTGACATTCCTGATTTTATTCCTAATACTGGTAATTTGTATCTTCTCTTTTTTTTCCTGTGTTATTCAATTTTTTTATCTTTAAAGAACGTTTTTTGTTTAATTTTCCCTATTTTTCTGTTTTCAATTTCAGTGATTTCTGCTTACTTCTATTATTTCCATCCTTTGCTTTGGGTTTATTTTGCTCTTTTTCTAGTTTCTTGAGGTGAGAGTTTAAATTACTGATTTGAGACTTCTTGTCTATGGTAAGCATTTAGTGCTATAATTTTCCCTCTCAGCACTACATTAGCTATATCCCACAAATTCTCACATTTTGTATTTTCATTTTCATTCGGTTTAATTATTTGAAAAAAAATGTCTTTTGAGCTTCTTTCTTTGGCCCACAGGTTCTTTAGAAGTCTGTTTTTAGTTTGCAAATGTTTGCCGGTTTTCCTGTTATCTTTCTGTTACTGATTTCTAGTTTGTTTGTGTTGTGGTCCCATTATTTTAAGTTTGTTGAGGTTTGTTTTATGGCCTAGAATCTGTTTTATCTTGGTATATATTTAATGGGTACTTGAAAAAAAGTATGTTCTCGGGTGCCTGGGTGGCTCAGTCAGTGAGTGTCCGGCTCTTGATTTTGGCTCAGGTCATGATCTTAAGGTTGTGAGTTCAAGCCCCGAGAACAGACTCCGTGCAGAGTCTGAGATTCTTTCTCCCTCTCCTTCTGCCTCTCCCCCTGCTCACACTCTTTCAAAGTCTCTCAGTAAATAAATAAAATCTTTAAAAGAAAAAAGTATATTCTGTTGTGTGTACAGTTCTATAAATGCCAATTAGATTCTGATAGTTTTATTGTGTTATTAGACTTTCATTTTGTTTTATTATAGTGTTTTTGAGTATATCTCTTTGCATAACTTTTTTTTTTTAAAGATTTGAGAGAGAGTGGGAGAGTGCATGAGTTGGGAGGGGCAGAGGAAGTGGGAGAAGCAGGCTCCATGGTGAGCTTGGAGCCAGATGCGGGGGCTTGATTCCAGGACCCCTAGATCATGACCTGAGCCTAAAGCAGATGCTTAATCAACGGAGCCACCCAGGTGCCCCTCTGTGTAACTTCTTTAGTGGTTGCTCTAGTATTACACTGTATACACTACATATATATAATTTATCACAGTCCGTTGGTGTCAACATTTTACCAGTTCAAGGGAAGCATAGAACTCTTACCTCCCTTTACATTCCTTTGATCTCTCCCATTTATAATTAATTATGTTAAATATTTTCTCTACACATATTGAAAACCACACAGTTGTGTTTGAGTCAAACATAATTTAGAACGCTCAAGAGAAATCTATTGTATTTACCTGTATTTTTGGTCCTACCACATTCTTCTTTTCATTCTGATATTCTATTTTTTTACATCATTTAATTATGTTTGAGGTGGAGACCTAGAACCTATACTTTAACAAATCTTCCTAGATGATTCTTATGATTTTGCAAGTTTGTGAAGCACTAGGGACAATTACTGAGACTCCATGAGGAGCGGAGAGGAATGTTCTTCATGTTTCAGACTTGTTTTATGTAGTGGTGGTATAGATGGATTTTCAGTTAAGGGAGCTGGAATATAATATTATAACATATAACAGTAGTCAGGAACTTAACTAGTAATTTTCCTAAGAAATTGACTTTCTGTTCTTTTCAGTCTAAAATGCAAACAGTACACATTGTATTACTTTCATTATATGAGTAACTGTAACTAGTCTGAAACTAAAGAAAGAATGTGTGGTATAAGATTAGTTGTGAAGGAGTCATTGTAACCTGAACATTAAGAGTCCAATGCTGTTACAGTTGTATGTTATTACACAAAATCTTTCTTTGGGGTGCTTTTCTAGGGATATTAATTATTACCTGTGGGATTGAACAAGCAGTTTCCTTAGATTTTGTATTTGTTGCTCATGTGGTGATAACTGTGGAGGATTTATTATGTTGCATTAAACTAAACTACCATTTTTTGAATGCTTTTTCTTTTCTTTTTTAAGATTTTTATGTATTTATTTGTCAGAGAGAGAGAGAGAGAGCACAAGCAGGGGAAGTGGCAGGCAGAGGGAGAAGCAGGCTCCCTGTTGAGCAAGGAGCCCGATGTGGGACTCGATCCCAGGACCCTGGGATCATGACCTGAGCTGAAGGCAGATGCTTAACCGACTGATGAGCCACCCAGGTGTCCCTGAATGCTTAATTTTCACTATGCTAAGTGCTTTATATGTACCATTGATTAACAATCTTCTGAGGTAAATATCCTCAGTTAAACTGAAGCTTAAAGAGGTTAGCCAGTAACTTCACTTAGAGCGCAGAACTAGTAAATGGCAACTTTAAATCATACCTCAATTCTAACACTGCAGTCTTAGTCTTAGTCTCATTGAAAGGTAGAACTACGTAATCTAGGCATTTATTAATACCTGATGTCATATATTGTGTGCTATTGTTCAGGATTCAAAAATGAATGATGTTATTGTACCTCCTTTCAATGAATTTACATGATCTAAACAGGGTGGTAAGGGGACCTCCATCATGGAAAAATTCTTGCCATGCACTATAGTTATTTCTTCATAAAACAATTACGGCTTATTTTGTAACAATTTTTGGGGTGCCTGGGTGGCTCAGTCGGTCAAGCTTCTGACTCTTGGTTTCAGCTCAGGTCATGATTTCAGGGTCCTGGGATCCAGCCCCAGGTCAGGCTCTGCGCTCAGCAGAGAGTCTGCTTGAGATTCTCTCCCTCTCCCTCTGCCCCTCCCCCTGCTCATGCACACTCTCTCTCTCAAATAAATAAATCAATTTTTAAAATTACAACGTTTTGGGGCACCTGGGTGGCTCAGTCGTTAAGCGTCTGCCTTCGGCTCAGGTCATGGTCCCGAGGTCCTGGGATCGGGCCCTGCATCGGGCTCCCTGCTCAGTGGGAAGCCTGCTTCTCCCTCTCCCACTCCCCCTGCTTGTGTTCCCTCTCTTGCTGTGTCTCTCTCTGTCAAGTAAATAAATAAAATCTTTAAAAAAAATAAAATAAAATTATAATATTTTGTACACTTTCTATGTTACGAAAAATAATTTCATTTTAAACCACAGATTTGAGAAGATCTGATCACCTGGATTAAAGTTGGTTCAGAAGCCTTTTCAACTGCAAAAATGTTGGAGGAAGATATGGAAGTGGCCATCAAGATGGTGGTTGTAGGGAATGGAGCAGTTGGAAAATCAAGTATGATTCAGCGATATTGCAAAGGCATTTTTACAAAAGACTACAAGAAAACCATCGGAGTTGATTTTTTGGAGCGACAGATCCAGTATGTACTTGGCCACTTTATCCCCTCAGTTTTGATTTGTGAACTCTATCCCAGGCTTTCATTGGAATAATACTAATTGCAGTACAGTCCAAGGTTAGGATCCAGTCTGATGGCAGTGGCTAATGAGACAGTTGGTGGTGGTTTTCAAATACTCAGTCCTGTATCTTTTTTTTTCTTCTTTTTCCATTCTCTTTAATGTTTCAAGGTTTTATTTACATTCTAGTTAGTTAACACATTCCTGTGTGTATTTTTATCCTTCTGTCTTTTTCCCACCTTTCATCTATTTTCCCCCTTTTTCATACTCCCCTCCCCACCCTTTTTATCTTGTATCTGTTTTATATTTATTGGGGGCACCTTACATACTTCTTAAACACAAACTGATGCTTGACTCTAATGAGATTTCTGTCCACTACAAGCTCAACTTGGAGATTTTGCAGGTTCAGTTCCAGACCACTGCAAAAAGCGAGTCAAATAAATTTTTTTTGGTTTCACAGTGCATGTCAAAGTTACGTTTACATTATACTGTAGTCTATTAGGTATGTGATACCATTATGTCTAAAAAAATAATATACATACCTTCATTTAAAAATACTTTATTGCTAAAAAAATGGTAACCATCCTCTAATCTATCACCAAGTCTTAAATCTTTTTGCTAGTGAAGAGTCTTGCCTCCATGTTGATGGCTGCTGACTGATCAGTCAGAGGGGTGGCTGCTGAAAGTGGGGGCGGTTGTGATTTTTTAACATAAGACAACAGTGAAGTTTGCCTCATTGATTCACTCTACCTTTCAGGAATGATTTCTCTATAGCATATGATGCTGTTTGATGGCATTTTACCTACAGTAGAACTTCATTCAAAATTGGAGTCAGTTCTCTCAACCCTACTGAATCACCGTATTGTATACCTGAAACTAATGTGACACTGCATGCTAGCTATACTGGAATTAAAATTAAAAACTTAAAAAAAAATTTTCTGAAACCCTGCTACTACTTGATCAACTAAGTTTATTTAATATTCTAAATCCTTTGTTGTCATTTCAACAGTCTGCACAGCATCTTCATCAGAAGTAGATTCCATGCCAAGAAACCACTTTCTTCACTCGTTCATAATAAGCAACTCCTCATCTGTTCAAGTTTTATCACATGATTGAAGCAATTCAGTCACATCTTCAGTCTACACTTCTAATTCCAGGTCTCTTGCTGTTTCCACCCATTCTTCAGTTATTTCCTCCATAGAAGTCTTGAACTCCACAAACTCATCTATGAGAGTTGGAATCTACTTCTTCCAAAGTCTTGTTGATGTTGATATTTGATCTCTTCCAGTGAATCTTGAATGTTCTTAATGGCATCTAGAATGGTGAATTTTTTTCTATAAAGTTTTCGGTCTTCTTTGCCTAGATCCATCAGAGGAATCACCATCTCTGGCAGCTATAACCTTACATGGTGTATTTCTTAAATAGTAAAGGCTTGAAAGTCAAAATTACTTCTTGATCCATGGCCTGCAGGATGAATGTTGTGTTAGCAGACATGAAAACAACATTGTCTCATTGTACATCTCCATCAGAGCTCTTGGGTGACCAGTCCATTGTCAATGAGCAATCAAATTTTGGAGGAATTTTTGTTCTAAGCAGTAGGTCTCAACAGTGTGCTTAAAATATTCAGTAGACCATCGTGTGAACAGATGTGAGTAGTAAATTTAGCATAATTCTTAAAGGCCCTAGAATTTTCAGAATGGTAGATAAGCATTGGCTTCAATTTAAAGTCACCAGCTGCATTAGCCCCTAACGAGGGAGTCAGCCTGTCCTTTGAAGTATTGAAGCCTGGCACTGACCTCTCTCTAGCTATGAACATCCTTAATGCCATCTCCTTCCAGTAGAAGGCTGTTTCATCCACCCTGAAAATCTGCTGTTTAGTGTAGCACCTTCAGGAATTCTCTCAGCTAGAGCTTCTGGGTAAACTGCCGCAGCTTCTACATCAGCACCTGCTGCTTCACCTTGTACTTTTACGTTACACAGGCAGCATCTTTCCTTCAACCTCATGAACCCTCCTCTGCTAACTTCATACTTTTCTTCTGCAGCTTCCTCTCCTCTCTCAGCCTGCAGAGAACTGAGGAGAGTTAGGACCTTTCTCTGGATTAAGCTCTGGTTTAAGGGATGTGTGACTGGTTTCATCTTCTCTCCAGATCACCAAAACTTCCTCCATACAGCAGTGAGGCTGTTTTGCTTTCTTATCATCTGTGTGTTCCCTGGAGTAGCACATTTATTTATTTGTTTGTTTATTAAAGTAATCTCGACGCCCAACTTGGGGCTCAGACTCATGACCCTGAGATCAAGAGTTCATATGCTCTACTGACTGACCCAGCCAGGTGCCCCTGGAGTGGTACTTTTAATTTCCTTCAAGAACTTTTCCTTTGCCTTCACAACTTGGCTACCTGGCACAAGAGGCCTACCTTTCAGCTTATCTGGGTTTTCAACATGCTTTCCTCACTAAGCTTAATCATTTCTAGCTTTTGATTTAAAGTGAGAGATGTGTGGCTTTTCCTTTCACTTGAACACTTAGAGGCCACTGTAGGGCTATTAATTGGCTTGATTTCAGTATTTCTATGTCTCAGGGGATAGGGAGACCCAAAAAAAGGGAGAGAGATGGAGGAAGGGCTGGTTGGTGGAATAGTGTGAGCACACACGACATTGATCCACTGAGTTGTCCATCTTATGTGGAAGCAGTCTCTGGCACCCCAAAACCATTATAATAGTAACATGAAGATCACTCATTACAGAGCACCATAGCAAATATAATAATGAAAAAATTTGAAAAATTGTAAGAATTACCAAAATGTGGCACAGAGACACAAAGTGAGAAATGCTGTTGGAAAAGTGGTGCTGATAGAATTGCTGAATGCAGGGTTGCCATAAACCCGTAGTTTGTAAAAAAAAAAAAAAAAAAACAGTCTCTCTTAATCACAGTAAAGCAAAGTGCAATGAAACAAGGCATGCCTGTTTTATTTGGAAGGACAGTTACCTGTCTCTCAGAACAGTTTTCAACTATTATAGGATCCTAAGACTATCTCAAAGTTAGAGAATTAATAATTTGTTTTAAAGAAATAAGAGATTTGGCAGGATTAAATACTCCAGTGAAAAGGAAATCTTTTTTTTTTTTTTTTAAAGATTTTATTTATTTATTTGACAGAGAGAGACACAGCGAGAGAGCGAACACAAGCAGGGGGAATGGGAGAGGGAGAAGCAGGGTTCCCACTGAGCAGGCAGCCTGATGCGGGGCTCAATCCCAGGACCCCGGGATCGACCTGAGCTGAAGGCAGACACTTAATGACTGAGCCACCCAGGTGCCCCTGAAAAGGAAATCTTACTTCATGAAATCCAGTTAGATTCTAAAACACATCAAAAGTAACAGTTTTTGGCAGGGGCGCCTGGGTGACTCAGTGGGTTAAGCATCTGCCTTCGGCTCAGGTCGTGATCCCAGGATCCTGGGATCAAGCCCCACGTTGGGCTCCCTGCTCAGCGGGAAGTCTGCTTCTCCCTCTCCCTCTGCTTGTCACTCCCCCTGCTTGTGCTTGCTTGCTGTCTGTCAAATAAATAAAATCTTAAAAAAAAAAAAGTAAGTTTTTGTCATTAGTCCTGAGAACTTTTAAAGATACTTCATTTCATTTCATTTGAGTGTAGTTGACATATAATGTTACATTAGTTTCAGGTGTACAACAGAATGATTCAACATCTGTTTAGGTTATGCTGTGTTCACCACAAGTGTAGCTATATCTGTCCCCATATAATGCTCTTACAGTGCCATTGACCATATTCCCTATACCTTTTATTCCTGTGACTTATTCATTCCATAAGTAGAAGTCTGTGTCTCCCACTCCTCTTCACTCATTTTGCCCATTCTCCCACACCCCAAGCATATTTTAAATTGTAGAGACAAACTGACAGATACTAAAGAAATAACATTAAACAAATCTGACTAGCCTAGACATTAGCATTAAAGATAGGTGTGTTCATTGTTTTAAAGATTGTTCAATTTCTAATTTGTATTCTATTGTTGTCTTTTCAAAATACTTCTGTGTTTACTTCCTTTCTCAGATATTTTGAGGATTCATTTTAAGCCTTCATGATGTTCATTTTTATATTTGTTATCTGAACCAAATTAATATTTTAAATATACAGGTGATCCTCGTTATTTGTAGATTCCATAGTTATACTTTAAGGTTCTCATTGTTTATAGGTTTCATATTTGCAACTGATCTACTTGCTAAAATCTTTTTGTATTCCGAGTCAATACTCCCAGTGCTTTGGTGGTCATCTGTGGATATGCTTTGGTGGTCATCCGTGGATATGCACGGAGCAGCAAATACTTGCTACCCTACATGCACATTCTCAGCTGAGGTTGAGCAAGGCTACCCTCTTCCTTCTTTTTTCATCCCTCACACTATAAACAAGTGTTTTCTCATGTCTATTTTTGTGCCACATTTTTGTACTTCTTGTTGATGATGTTGCTGTTAAAATGGCCCCCAAGCATAGTGCTGTCTAGTTTTCGTAAGTACAAGAAGTCTATGATGTGCCTTATAGAGAAAATATGTATGTAGGTACACTTCATTTATGCATGAGTTACACTGCTACTGGCCTTGAGTTGAATGTTAATGAATTAACAATATGTATTAAATAAGTTATCTTTAAACAGAACCACAAAAAAACCCCAACAAGGTTATGTATTGATTCGTTAGGGAAAAATGTAACTAGGGGTCACGGGAACCTAACCCTGTATTTCCCCTAGGAGCAATGTTTCAGTATTTGATAATTCAGTGTTTGCAGTGACTTTATAGAACGTAACTACCGTGAATAAGGCAATGCACTATATGACAAAATAAGAGTAAATTTTTAAGTTATAGGGCAACCAAGCTGCTTCTTTTCTTCCTCCCTTCTTTCTTTTCTTCCTTTTTTGCTTCTTTCCTTTCTTATTCTTATTCTATCACTTGTGCACCCAAATGTTATAGCAAGAGGAGAGCAAGTACTGACCTAAGGGAATCCCCTTCCCGGTGCTGCTAGTCCTGGAAGGACCACTGTCTGTGACTGTTGTTAAAGGAGAAAACCTGACAGGTAAACTCAAATCATGTATGAGGTTATAGCTTTGGGGGACTGTCTTTCCCCCTTTAGTTTCACTACTGGTAGTGGTATCAGCACTTAAAAGCACTCAGACTTTTTCAGAGTGGAAACCAACAGTGTAGTTTTAAAACCTTCAGACTTAAAAAACAGAAATATGCACAAAGCTATGTTACTAAAGATGTTTTGTTTACATATGAAATAAATTCATCTCTTGTTTCAGAGTTAATGATGAAGATGTCAGACTGATGTTGTGGGACACAGCAGGCCAAGAGGAATTCGATGCAATAACAAAGGCCTACTATCGAGGTAAATTGTGGGGTTGGTTGGTTTGGGCATGTTCTTTCGGCTAAACAAAGAGCTTCACTTTTTTTTTTTATTCCACATAGAAGGGTTTCTTTTTAAGAAGACTGGAATTAATTTCAGAGTATTTTTAAAAACCTCTTAGGTCATTATTCTCCTAATGATCTTGTTGAGTGGTAAATAATGCTGTGTACTATAGATAGTTTGTCTCTGCCTTGGAATTATATGACTCACATAGGCATTCCCAGTTCTAATCAGTTAGAAATTGCTCAGTGCCTATTTCTGACCACATGGAGATGACTGTGGTCAGAGAGAGTGGAAACTGGCATGAAAAAGTAAAGTTCCTGCAAATAAGATGACACTATGTTAAGACGCATGAAATTGCGTGGATAAAGCCTTCTCGGTGCTCTGAGTTCAGAGAGGTGTGAGATACACGTAAAAGGAAAGAACTCCAACTGTAGCACTTAAGAGTCTAAAATGCGGGGTTAAATTCCTCAAGGAAAGCTGAAATTCCTAAATGGAAATTTCTAAAGTTTTCGTTAATATTTTCTTCTAAAATTTTGTCCTTTTGGGGCACTTGGGTGGCTCAGTCGTTAGGTGTCTGCCTTCAGCTCAGGTCATGACCCCAGGGTCCTGAGATCGAGCCCCGCATTGGGCTCCCTGCTCGGTTGGGAAGCCTGCTTCTCCCTCTGCTGCTCTCCCTGCTTGTGCTCTCTCTCCCCCTCCCTCTCTGGCAAATAAATAAATAAAATAAAATAAGTTTAAAACAACCAAAGAAGTTGCCTTTCTGGCTTGGTACCAGGGAAACCCGACTTCCACTGCCTCCTCTAAGAAGACATTTTGGTTTCTTGAGAAATTAAGAGAGGTACACCTCTCAGGTATCATTCTAATGATACCACCACTACTTCTCATTCTATTTACTGTGTCCTTAAAGGCTTCCCAGGGGCAATAGTTTTGACTGTTGTTCTCCTGTGGATGCTAGTTTGGATCTTGAGCACCTGTAACATGGCATGAGGCAGGAATTATGTTCTTACGGCTCAAAGCTCTTAGATTAGATGGCATTTTTATCAAATTATCAATTTCATGAGCATTGACACTGTTGATTAACAGGCCCAAAAATTAAAGTTAATTCTTAAATTTTTTTAAAATATTTTATTTATTTATTTGAGAGAGAGAATGAGATAGAGAGAGTACATGAGAGGGGGGAGGGTCAGAGGGAGAAGCTGACTCCCTGCTGAGCAGGGAGCCTGATGCGGGACTCAATCCAGGGACTCCAGGATCATGACCTGAGCCCAAGGCAGTTGCTTAACCAACTGAGCCACCCAGGCACCCTAATTCTTAAATTTTTTAATTTTTTTTTTAGATTATTTATTTGAGAGAGAGAGAAGCTCACAAGTGGGGAGGGGAGGGAGAAGCAGGCTCCGCACTGAGCAGGGAGCCCGATGCGGGGCTCCATCCCAGGACCCTGGGATCATGACCTGAGCCAAAGGCAGATGCTTAACCAACTGAGCCACCCAGGTGCCCTAAAGTTAATTCTTGAGTAAAAATTATTTGTATTTATTTAGTGGGGTTACTACCACATACCCCTTCACCCCATTCACATGGAAAGAAAACAAAACAAACAAAAAACCCTAGGGGAAATAACAAAAAAATAGTTGGAGTACATGAGATTTTCATTGTTTTTACCTAGCTTTTTTTTCTCTAAATTCTCAGCATGAAATATATGTTTTGTGAGGAAAAAAGATAGCTTGGGTTCTCCCCCCCCCTTTTTTTTAAGATTTTATTTATTCATTTGAGAGAAAGAGGGAGAGAGCAGGGGGAGGGGCAGAGGGAGAGGGAGAAGCCCACTTCCTGCTGAGCAGGGATCATGACCTGAGCAGGTGCCCCACAAAGGTGTGTTTCACATCCTTCATGCATCTGAGGCTCACAGGAGTCCTGTAAGGCTAGCAGAGTAGGTAGAGTTATCCCCACTTCACTGATGGGGAAGCAGACTGAGAAGAGGAGGTTTGCCCATGATCATGTGACTAGGGAGGAGCAGGGCTGAGCCTTGGCTCTTTCAAGCCACTTCTCTGAATCACATACTCCATGTTCTCTGTCATTTATTTGTGGGACTTCCTCTCAAAGCGCAAAGTCTATAGTCTACTTTATTATTTTTTTAAATATTTTATTCATTTGTCAGAGACAGAGAGAGCACAAGCAGGGGGAGCAGTAGAGGCAGAGGGAGAAGCAGACTCCCCACTGAGCAGGGAGCCCGATGTGGGGCTCCATCCCAGGACCCTGGGATCGTGACCTGAGCTGAAGGCAGACGCCTAACGACTGAGCCACCCAGGCGCCCCCATTTAATTTTATTTTTAAAGATTTTACTTATTTGAGAGACAGAGGGAGAGAACATAGAGGGAGAGGGAGAAGTGACTCATGACCTAAGTCCAAGGCAGATGCTTAACCAACTGAGCCACCCAGATGTCCCTACACTTAACATTTTAACTTAAAGTTGATCTTAAGCTTATAAATAGATTATCTCTTAAAAGCTTTTCTTAAGAGGTTTTGTGTGGTGGTGAGTGCTGTGTATTGTGTAAGACTGTTGAATCACAGACCTGTACCAAATAATACATTATATGTTACATATAATACATTAATTGAAACAAATAATACATTATATGTTAATTAAAAAAAAGCTTTTCTTAAAATTAATTTTTTTAGTCAACCATGTTAAAATGGCGAAGAGCATGGGATGCTGAGACAGGTCTTAAGTTTCAGCTTCTTTTTCTAAGTTATAAGAATAAACATCACATCCCAAAATGAATTAAGTAATAGAAAGTGGCAATTATATGTAAATTTGGGAAATCGCATATTGAATATTCTTATATGCTTTCCTTTGAGGTTCCATCAGAAAGCTTTTGGTTGCTGAGAACAGAAAAGCAACCTCAAACTAACTTAAACTACAAAGAAAAGTGGAAGTAGCATAGCTCTTAGTTATAGTTTGTTCTTACTGTAACCCCATTGATTCTCCTGACTTGCCTCACTCCCTGTGTGGGGTTCCTCATGCTGATTTTCCTTTTTGGTTGCAAGATTGCTACCATCAGCAATGGAAGCCACATGCTTTGTTCACATCCTTGGAGGGGAAGGATTAATTCCCACAACAATGGATCAAAAGTCCTGAGCTTTTATCTGATTAGATCACCCTTGACCAGATCACTGTAAGTAGTTAAGAGGAATGTGATTACCCTAATTGGCTTGGTGCACTTAGGGCCTACTGCCCCAGAGCAGAGGGTAGGTTCAGCCTGCCTAAACCATATGGCTACTATACAGTGAGGGAGAGGTGTTCTCAGGGAGGGAGGATAACTGGATGCCAGCTAGGCAGCTGGGTAATCATCTGCTTCTAGTGTAGATTCAAATATGATGATATAATTGAATAGAAACGAAGACTAGGAAGAGAATGTAAGGGCTGGGAAGAATGCGTTAAGATATCGATTTATTGATGGAAACACCATGCCTTATAACATTAGGACTTAATGATTTGTGTCCCAGAAGTGTATTATTCAAAATAGATAAAAATTTTAAAAATTTATATTTAAAGAAGAAAAATTTTATTATAATTCATTTAAAAGACCTACCATAAAAAACCATCGTTTAAAGGCACAGTTAGAGGCGCCTGGGTGGCTCAGTCGTTAAGCGTCCACCTTCGGCTCAGGTCATGATCCCAGGGTCCTGGGATCAAGCCCCGCATCCGGCTCCCTGCTCAGTGGGAAGCCTGCTTCTCCCTCTCCCCTCTGCCTGCTTGTGTTCCCTCTCTCGCTGTGTCTCTCTCTGTCAAATAAATACAATCTTTAAAAAATAAAAAATAAAGGCACAGTTATATTTTTAGAATGCTGCATTAATGGTATAGTGAGACATGTTGAAACATGACTTTGTAAAGAACAGAACACAGATCACATTAGAAACCCTTATGGGATCCCAAGTGACTCCTCTTAAATTCTTAAGAAGTCCACCCTAGGCAGTAGAAGCCATACTTAGTACAGAAAATTATGTATAATGTAAAACATTTCATTATAGTTTTTTTTACTGTGATTTGTTTCTAAGAAAAAAAGTTTTTGATTAACAGTATGGGGAAATGAAGTTATAGACTTGAGAGCTATTATGTGAGATTATGCTCATAAATAGAAAGAAACATTTTTTTTTTAAGTATCATCTTTCATGAACGTAAGTGAATGTAAATTGTTGGAAATGAAATGGCTCTGGACAAGAAGCTGTTTATAAATTTCTGTTATAAATGTAAAAATTAAGGAACAACAGAATTAGACTGTGCAAGTCCTTTAGATTTGTTTTAAATTATGTGAGTGTGGAATCTGTGATAGATTGGTTCATTAATTTGTGTGCTTCACATTATATAGAGTGTCAACAAGAATAAGGGACAGGCATTTAAAATCCAGAATAATAACTATAATATATGTAATTATAAAGCCTGTGTTTCTGATTGGCCTGCCCTTATTAAATTTTATGCCATGTTATATAGAGCATTGTTTTTTAAACTGTCATGTGCACATGAATCCCCTGGGAAACTTGTTAAAAATGCAGTCTCTAATTTAGTAGATGTGTGGGTGGCTCTAAAATTCTGCATTTCTGCAACGTCCCTGGTGACCCTGATGCTGCTGGTCCTCAGCCACACTTGCAAGTCTAGAGACCATCTTTTAGGGTCTTTCAGAATTTGAGGACAGAATTACTCTCTAAACATTATGTGTCTTGAGGAGTATTTTCTGAATTTTATTCAGAAATAGTAACTTTTTTTTGAAAGATCTTATTAATTAGAAATAAATATTTGCCAGTGGTAATCTTACAAATGACACCAAAACTTTGTTCAGATCTCTATATTCCTGATATGTAGGTAAGTGGAATAGTTTGTTAATTATTAGAAGTCATTCTTTTGTGGGTGGTTACTGTTATCTATGATGACAAAGTAACTTTTTTTTTTTAAGATTGAATTTATTTATTTGACAGAGACACAACCA